CCCCCCCCCCCCCATAATAATAATAATTAATAAATAAATAAACAAATTGATACTTACCCACCAAAATTTTAAATTACAGACGGATAAAGGTAATTTAGTTCATTCATATCAATATAATGTTATTGGTCTTTTAAATGCGTTAATCAATTTTTATAAGTATATTAATACAATATAAACACTTTATTAAAAGTGTCTTTTATTGATCACACATTAATTATCACTTTATATTTTGTTAAGGGATAATGACTTAAAAGGGTAATAAATTTTTTGATTTGTACACATTTAGTCATTAAGTTTTTTTTCGTCCACATTTACCCCTTCAACTTGATAAACTGTACACATTTAGTCCTTATGACCGGCTACTTCAGGTTAGCCGGTAAAAATGGCTTAATAGGGTAATATATTTCTTACTTTGTACACATTTAGTCCTTAATATTTTTGTACACATTTAATCCTTAATATTTTTTTTGTTGCAAAATAAGTCATTTTTGTTTTTGTATTCATTCAGTACTTATGAATGATTTCTTTAGGTTTTTCTCACGACATCTTATGTGGGATAGCCATATGGTGGTGGGATAGGTTGAGGCGGTCCTGCTATATGATGTAGGCCAAGATACCTGGTTCGGGCCGACTATAAGTTGTAGGCACGGAGACTCGAGAAGAGCGGTTAGATTAAGGCGGCATGCCAACAAACACTGGGTATTCCAGTCCAATGACTGATTGGACCTGTTGCATGTTGGCATTCCAGTCCGATGACATATTGGGCCAATGTATTCCAGTATGATGAGTGTGGGTCCGTTATGCATGATAATACGTTTGTTGTATTAGGTATTTTGGGGGAAACTCAATAAACTTTGTGTGCTTACCCAGTTGTTTATGTTTTCAGGTTCTATCGTTGGTCATGAGAAGGTGAATGCATGACTGTACACACTCATCAACAATATTGAGGATTCTGCATTTTTTATATTACTCTGATTTCGATAAATGTATTTTGGAATAAACGTTTTTTTCTTAATAATGGATTTATAATTAGGGAGTTTTGCCTTATTTAAAAATGAAATTTTTTGGTTGTGAAAATGAGACATTACACATAAACATCAACAACCCCACACACTTCATCAATGATTGTCCCACGTAAGATGTCGTGAGAAAAACCTAAAGAAAACATTCATAAGTACTGAATGTGTACAAAAACAAAAATGACTTATTTTGAAACAAAAAATATTAAGGACTAAATGTGTACAAAAATGTTAATGACTAAATGTGTACAAAATGAGAAATATATTACCCTATTAAGTCATTTTTCCCGGCTAACCTGGAGTAACCGGTCATAATGACTGAATGTGTACAGTTTAACAAGTTGAAGGGCTAAATGTGGACGAAAAAAAACTCAGTGACCAAATGTGTACAAATCGAAAAATATATTACCCTTTTAAGTCATTATCCCTTTTGTTAAACATATATATTTGATATTTATTATTATATAAAATTAGCATTGTTATAATACGTCCTTACGACAAAATAATTGGAATAATTGGGGCATCTCGCGGTAAAATAAGATGATAAGAAGAAGATTTTCATTAAGAAAGAGCACTTGACAAAGTTAGAAGCCATAATGAAATCATTCTAGTAGACTTTTAGGTTGATTTGAATAATATTAAACTTTTGTTTTTATTAAAATTTATATACCAAACACATCAGAATGATGGTGGTTATATACGATTCATTACACATATGATTCACTTGATTCATCATAAAATGCCTTATTTTGTATTCTAGATTGTAAACTAATGCATAAGTTTGGTTAAATATGATTCATTCTACATGTGAATCATTATACATTTTGTTATTCAAAAATGTAATACATTATACATGATAGTAAATGACAAGTTTTTTATTACTCGTTGAAACATTGAAAAACTTGAAAAACTAGAATTATTGAAATCTTTTAATTTTTTCTCTTAAAAATGAGTTTTAGTCTACAGACTTAAAAAATAAATAAATAAATAAATAAAAATGATAATAAAATAAAATAAAAATATTTACCTCTTAAAAAACAAAAAACAAAGAGGACCTTAGTTATAATCACTACATGCCAAAAACTATAGTCTAACGCTTTCAAAAAAAATCACAGCATAAAATATCACATGATGATAAAAAAAAATTATTTCTTATGGGTTATATGTGAAACAAAATAGATAAAACCCAAAACGATTTGAATGAAAATTCGTAAACAATCAACAACCATCTGAATCTAAATGATATTCTAATTTCTAAGCGATAACTACTATATAAATCAGTTTAAAATAGACAGCTTATATAAGTCAAATATATCGGTAGTGGTTAGACTTGGTGGTTGGACTTTGCTTAACCTCCCCTCAAATGTCTAGTAATATCCTATTATTTCTGACACTAAAAAGACCGAATCTTAACTTTAATCCATGGAGTCAACTAAACTTGTATCCAATCCATAGCTTTAGATCTGCTTCACCCCCATGTGCACAAAGTCTCCCCTTGTCATTTTATACCCACCCCCACCCACCCCATTTGGATCTTGAAGAACTCTAGATCCTCGTAAAAAAATCTTTTCCTCAATTGTACAAAAATGATCAATACTGAAACTTGATCTTGATTAAAGATTCATTCATGGTGTCCGATTTTCGAGGTTTCTGCTCCATTCTAGTCCTCCTCTCGGTTCTCTCAACTATCTCGTTACTCTACCGTGCTTCCTTCTACTCTCATGAACAGAGTCTGGAACTCGGACTGGGATTGGGACCGGGACTAAGACAGAACCAGAACCGCCAAATCGATCTCCTAACCTTTCCATCGGCATGGAACCATCTTTCGTTCCCTCCAAACCCACCTCAAAAACTCCTCAAAATTGCACTTTTTGTCAAGAAATGGCCCGACAGGCGCCACGCTGGCGGGCTGGAGCGTCACGCACTGACGCTCCACCTTGCTCTGGCCAAACGTGGCCACGAGCTTCACATCTTCACCGCCTCCTCTCCCAACTTTTCATTCCCAAATTACCCTTTCGAAAATTTACATTTCCATCTCTCGAAACCTACGGATGCAGGGTACCTCAACCAAGCTCTCATTTGGAAACAATTCCAAGATCAAAACTCGTCCGGAAAACCATTTGACGTGGTCCACACCGAGAGTGTAAGCTTAATGCATACGCGGTCGAAAAACGTTTCAAATTTAGCAGTTTCTTGGCATGGAATCGCGTATGAAACGTTACATTCCGACATCATTCAAGAACTCCTACGCGCACCCAATGAAAACCAGACGAATCACTTGACCGAAAGAGCAGGAAAAGTAGTCAACGAGATAAAATTCTTTCAAAATTACGCGCACCATGTTGCCACAAGCGATCATGTTGGGGACGTGTTGAAAAGAATCTACATGATACCGGAAGATCGAGTTCATATCATACTCAATGGTGTAGACGAAGATGTTTTCAAACCGGATTACAACACCGGAATCGAATTCCGGTCGCATTTCGGTATTCCGGAGACGAAAACACTGATTCTAGGAATGGCAGGTAGGTTGGTTAAGGACAAAGGACACCCGTTGATGTTTGAAGCTCTAAAGCAAATCTTTGCTGAAAACTCGACTTTCCGGGAGACTGTGGTGGTTTTAGTCGCCGGAGATGGTCCGTGGGGTGTTCGATATAAAGAACTCGGGGATAATTTACTTGCTTTGGGCCCACTACAACCGGTTCAAATGGCTAGATTTTACAATGCAATTGATATATTTGTGAACCCAACCCTTCGAGCTCAAGGTTTGGATCATACTTTGTTGGAAGCGGTTCTTTCCGGGAAGCCATTGATGGCTACAAAGCTTGCGAGCATTACTGGGTCCGTGATTATCGGGAAGGAATACGGGTACACGTTTTCACCAACTGTTGATTCGCTCAAGAAATGTCTTTATGAGGTTTGGGAAGATGGGAGAGGTGTGTTGGAAGAGAAAGGGAAGGTGGGTAGAGAAAGAGGCATCAAGCTTTTTACTGCAACAAAAATGGCTGCCGCATATGAAAGACTATTTCTATGCATCTCAAACGGGAAAAAGAATCAAGAATATTGTAAATATTAGTCTACAAAACATGGCAAAGATAGTATCTGGGTTCAAGTCTCAACATCCACATTATCAAAATCCAAATCCATTGTGGATCGAGTTATTATTATGTCAGCCACTTAACAACAGGTATTTGTATCTGATTTACATCTTGTGGAAAAACAGTGTGACACGGATTTGTTTGTACCATTTTTGCATAGACATGACAACATGATATCTTAATGATTTTTTTTAACCAAAGTAGCATAATTTATTTTTGGCACAGGAATTGTACTATTTTTGATAAGATGTATAGCAAGAAAGCTTTTTATTTATACTGAAACCTCGAAAATATCATATATCTAAAGTAACAAAAATGTCGATATGCATTGAAAGGAGAAGAAACAAAGAAAAAGTTAAGGTAATAGAGGTGAGATGACGAAGTACATGACGCGACATCTTTCATATATATCAACAAAAACTTCAAACTTCTATAAAGGCTTCATGAATTTCCTGCACAATCACATCACAAAAAGTGCAATTTATACTGTACAAACAGAAATGTAAATGTGATTACAGATCTACTATAAGAAAATGAGTCAAATTTGTAAAAGGTTATGACTAAATAGGGAAAGTCCCCTTTCTCTACATTTCCCTATTAAGTCTCCTTCTGAATTAAATAAGTAAAAAAGAAAAATATACCTTGGTTAATAGGCGGAAAATCCATGTTGTTGCCTAAAGGTGGCATGGTCTTAATAATAAAGGGACCCTGCATCAAAAACAATAATTACAATGTTATATCACGGTCTTCAATGTCAAACAGTGAAACCTCACAATTCTCAACTAACCTTGCCACCAATTTCCTCTAGAAGCACTATGCAAATGATTAGGATCATCTTTTCCATCGAATTTCTTGAACTAAAAACACAGAAGAAAGAAATTCATCAAACTGGAGCGTTTTATATTTCTTGATAATAGCTAAATGGAAGATTATGCTTACTTTGGAATATGATTGTGATGTTGGATCACTTGAAGAACAGACATACATATCTTCTTGCCCACCATAGTATAAAGATGAACTTAATGGAGAAGGTTCCACTCGTTCTTGAAAGATTGACCTTCTCTCCATGTTCATTACGCCATTTGCAATTGCAGTATTCTTAGCTACAGCTGCTCAATTTACATTAACAATGGCGTTAATATGCATTTCAATTACCATATTGTTCATTGATTATAGTAATATGGGAAACTTGCTTTGCTTTGATTACTTTGCATTGAATTCTGTAGCAAATTACATTAAAAGGGATCAATAGTAATTAGTAAAACTACCATATAACATGCAGTTTTTGGATTCTGAAACTTAATAAAGAAAGAGATGCGAACCTGAAGTTCCATGGGTGGCTGTCCACAACTGGCTCTCCGAGGTCTCCTTTTGTGTAGCTCCGGTGAACTGTGGACAATTAGGGTTTCTTGCTAATACCTAAACAGATTGAACATTGTTGAACTTGATCAATTACAATTTTGAGTTTCAACAGAGTAGCTAATTAGCAGTATTAAGATCAATAAACCTAGGTTAATGTATCTTAAAAACTAGTAGGTAATACTCAGTCTTGGTGTTCGAGAAACTAATAAGAAAGATAGCCCTACAAGGGTTTTAACTCAAACTTTAATCACTGCAACTTACTTTAAATTAGCCCTAAAAAATAACAAGATCAAGAAGAACAGACGAATAGATCAATAAGAAAAGTCCAGGAAAGAACAAACGTTTTCCCTACGGAAGCTTAATTTCATAACATCAAATCGAAACGAATAAAAATTATAATTCGTTTCATGATTGTAAGATAGAATTTACCCTTAATTACAGACCCGAATTAAAATTAGCAATCACCCGAATAAATACTAAATAAAAAATTGATTTATAAGAATCGAACCGACTCACGAAAAACGATAATACCGTGGACGGAGGAGGAAAAATTGAAGAGAAAACTCCGGCGGAGGACGGCTGTGAGTCATTGTTACCGAAAAGTTCAGCAGTGAATGAAGAGGAGGTGGATGACCGGGGCGGAGACGGAGGCGGCGGCGGCGACGACGGGGAGGAAGTAGATTGATTCTTGTTTTCCATTAATGTGTGTAGATTTGTTGTTTGTTTGTTGAATCAAAATAGAGAAAAACAGAGGAATCGGTGGATAAGATTTGCATATAGAGCCAAAACAGAAGTACCAAAAGGAGTGAGAACAGAGCACGTGGATATGATTCACATGAAGAAATCGAGCTATCGACATATCTTTCATTTATCGACATTACATTCTCGTGCCCAGCACGTGTTACGTAAAAGTATGGATGAGTATTTGGACCGAAAATCCGAACCGAAACCCAAATCGACATGAATTAGGATCGAATAAGTTATACGGGTCGGTTCTCGGGTTATTCGGTCAGGGTTACCCGAATAACAGTTTAATCAGGCAAAAAGGACTGACCCGAAAAATTATGGATTTTTGGAACATGAATTATCAATATTTAATATATTTTTTTCTTGAACTAAAAATAGTATTTCCTTATTTAGGTTATTCGGGCCAATTTAGTTTATTAAGGTTATTCGGATCATTTCAGTTTAAAAGCATAGTATATATGTTATTTCGGTCCTTTCGGGTAAATAACCGAACTGAAATCCGTATTACCCGAATCGAACTGGACCCGTATTAGCATAATCGGTCCAGATTTAAGTTCCAACTTTTCATCCAATCTGGGTTTCGGATTATTCGGACCACGAATATGAGAGAGATGTGGATGAATTTGTCCAATGATCCTGTCACACCCCCGAACCAGACGGCGGAAACGTCTGGGGGCTTATGCGTGACTTCAACTTGAAATATCATTACAGTGAATATAAATGAAACATAACATCATCATTACCATTACCATGCATAATATAATACAACTGCCATTGTTTACATCAAGTACAATCTTTTAAATAACATGACCAAAACATTCAATGTATGATGTTTGACAGTACACAAAACAAAATCCCTTATTCTTGTTGATTCTACTGCTTAACGAGTCCCTGAGAATACAAGTTATTTAGAAAACGTCAACATATATAATATTTGTGAGTTCATAAGTATATTTGAGAAAATGATTTGTATAACTTTGTAATCACAAGAAAATCTTGTATTTTC